TAGAAAATCATCACGCAGAAGAAGGTGCATCGAGAACTCGGAAAAGCGTCGATGGAAACTGCGGATCGGGCTGGCTTAGCTGTGCTTTTCACTTGTGCTATTGGTTTAGTTGAGTCAGCTAGGATACATCTCTTTGGATAGAAGACTTAGGTCTTTCGAATAATGGAGAGAGAAGCGTAGAGGACGAAGAAGAAGACGCAGGGAGAGCGCCAGAAATACCGGTAGGGTGCTGTGGAAAATGGATACACCTAATACTCACAAGTACTGCTATCGGTTCTCACCCAACTGCTTTGTCTCCAAACATATGGAGAATACTTCCCGCGCTGGGAAACTTCTGTGATATTTCTCGGATCCGTAAACAACGAAGCGCGGCCAAAATTCAGTACTTTAGTTGCCTGATCGATATCCAAAGCGGTTGCAAGACGAGATTCATGACGTTTGAGATGTTGGGCATGCGTATTCCTGTTCAGAAAGTTGGCAATATACATTGGCGCATTTGTTCCAGTTGAAATGAGTCCCCCGTGGCCATCGTGAACACCTATGGGCGCACTGCCCGTTGCGGCAGAAGTTCCTCCCACGTTCCAAACGGCGCCCGCGCTGATCTGTCGATGGCTTCCGCGACTAACCGGCCTGTTATTCCTCGCGTAAACCGAGGTATCACTAACATGTCGTGGTAGGTGATGAGGAGTGTCTCTACGGTCCGGTGATCGGCCTGACCTAGAGAGACCTAAGCGTCTCCTTGCTTGGTATGGCGCAAAGGGGTCTGTCTTAGGGTCGCGTCGCCGGAGTAGTTTTTCCCCGGGAGAAAGCAGGCATGGATTTTTACTTAGGCGGAATGCAGGCACATCTGTAGCATACGGCTCACGAACTGGGATAAATCGATCTGAAGTCAAGAGTCTCTTACGGGAGACTGGTGACGGACTTCTGATCAAGCTCCGCCTTGTATTAGGTGCATTGAGTAAGCTAGAAGGTATCGGGCCGTGATATACCGCGACAGCAGCCGGCTTCCTCCCTTGAATAAAGATGTTATCGCTTGAGGGGCTGGTGGTATTGCGGCTGGATCCGGGACTGGTAATTGAGTTTAGAGTGGAGGAAGGAGAAAAGTCCGAATCGAACTGAGAGGGAGCGGGAGTAGCCGAATCCGAAGATCGGGCTTCTGGGGACACTGCGAAGTCAGGTCCAGAGATTGATTGTTCAACAGAAGAGTCATGGAAGTGAATTAAGGAGAGACTATCACCATTCCTGCTGTGTCTTAACTCTTCAAGCGACTGGGACCTTGAGAGCATTGCTGCCGCCCTGGCAGGGGGGAAACGAGGGATCCACCATCAAGTGCTAAAATTGAAAATGCAATGAGAGGTGGTCGAGTACAAAGGTAATCAAAACGACAAAGAGAGGAATCAGGTATAGCATTAAAGATGATGCGATGTATTGCTGTAGCTAGATGCTGTGTCCTACAGAAAGGTGTCACTGAGTGCAGATTGAGGTTGATTGAGCTGCCACCCAGGCAATGCCATTTCAACGGTCTCGTCTCCAGGGCTGGAATCTCCCGCCTCTCCCTCCATTGTAGCTGCTTGTTTCCCGCTTGTTAGGTTCCTGGAGTTTTTTGTGGTTTTGTTTGTTTTGAGGTTGAGGTGGAAGCTAGAAGTCGTGATGGAGCCGCTGTCACGTGCTGATAACAGGTTACAACTAGCTGATAAGATTGCCTTTTGCTTTCCCGCAATCCGCTAATACATGGATCCAGACCTTACGCCTTCTCTGTCCTCGACTGCAGGTATAGTTACATATACAATATACCGAATACTAATTAAATTCCTATGGCGAGCGTAGGTTTGCCCTAATTTCGTCATACTGAATGTGCCAGCTAACGTACATATGTACTTTGACTAGCACGGAGTTCCACGATATAACGCTTCCATGCGGAGGACGGAGGCGGCATGGCAGAAAGAATCCCAGAAAATACAGACATATAATGAACTCGTCAGCATCGTGAATTCGCAGGTAAATGCTCACTCTTTTGTAGATACTGCAGACTACATGTACATGTACTTGACAAACTAAACTTGCCGAGAACGGCAACTAGAGAGCAGAACACGATTTCAGCACGGAAGCATTGAACAAAACTTCAGAACTGCTCACTAAGAATCCAGAGTATTATACAATATGGAATACGCGGCGCCTAATATTACAGCACCAATTCTCCAAAGCTACGTCTTCTGGAGAGGGAGGTGGCGATGGTCAAATTAAAAACATCATCAAAGCCGATCTCCAATTTCTGTTTCCCCTTCTCCGGGGATATCCCAAGTGCTATTGGATATGGAATCACCGCCTCTGGGATCTAGAGCAAACTACTCTTCTACTTCCGACTTCTATCTCCCGAAGTTTCTGGCAGGAGGAACTTGCGCTTGTGGGCAAATTGCTCAGCCTGGATAGCAGGAACTTCCACGGCTGGGGTTACCGTCGACAAGTTGTATCGGCACTCGAAGAGTTAGCTTCCAAGGATGACGAAAAAGAAGGCCATAGCGAGGACGCATCGACGCCTGCAAGCATGGCGAAGGCTGAGCTTGACTACACAACTAAGATGATTGGTGCTAATCTATCCAACTTCTCTGCTTGGCATAATCGAACGCAACTTATTTTGCGGCTGTTACACGAACAGTCTGCTAGTGATGAGGAAAGGAAGAAGATGCTCGACAGTGGTAAGTCCGTCTGGTGGTTGATAAACCGAGTTTGTCCACTAGACTGGATCAATTGTTAATTGCTAACGAGGGAACATCCTTCATTCCTGGGGGGTATTTAGAGCTGAAATTGATCCATCGGGCTTTAATCGACCCATATGACCAGTCGCTGTGGTTCTATCACCAGAATTTGATGTGCACTTTTGACCCAGCGCTGGCTTCAGGGACAATGGCGCCGAATTTTACGGATGTTGAACGGTTAGAATACCTGGAGAACGAGGTTGAGGCTATTACTAAGATGTTGGACGGAGAGGAAGATTGCAAGTGGATTTATCAGGCTCTAATCAGCTGTGGGGTGGTTATTTGTCGCGTCAAAGGGGTTATGTCAACGGAAATGAAGCAACGGATCTCTGGATGGTTATGTGAGTTGAAAAGGCTTGATCCACTGAGGCAAGGGAGGTGGCTAGATTTGGAGGCCTCACTGAACCTGTAAGTGCGGCGATGTTTCACGATATTCCAAAGCACGTAGACACCTAGATTTCCACAGCATGAAATACACGGCGGCATTGGAATTTGGATTGTTGTAAACCAGCATTGCATGGCTTGGATTAAAAAGAGGACCTCTATGTGCGAGGAATTGGTAGATACCAGGTCGCCAAATCGTATGAAAACCAATAAACGGCTCTGGAGCACCTAGATTGTTACACATCCTTGCTTTTCTCTTAAACTGGAGAATTGTTCGACCTTACGGACAAAGAGAACGGCAACAAAGCCAAAAACAAATGCATTTGATGTCCAAATGTTGGCAAATAATCACACACGCATGAAGAGGCGGTTAGCGATTTGGCCACTGAGGAGGGGAACTTCGGACATGTCAGTGACTTCAAGTTGTTATGATATGACAATAAACTAAACCAACATCTAAGAGATCTTCGTGGTTGAGGTTTCGAGGACGAAACTGATGAGAATCCCCGAATTGGTAAATTGCAGCATGCAGGTCGGATTAATATACAACCACTACAATCCGCCCCGCAAGAGCCATTGGTTATATACCAGGAGAATTTGTCAAACTCAGGGCGCTGTAACTAATGCAGACGCAGAGAATCAGCATATGTATTTCCATAGTGAGGCAGCCTGCAGGTTGCTGTTTCAAAACTCCCATCCTCTAAAGCATGATGGGACTCAAAAACGGTGGCGGATAAGACACTAGACCACTTAGCTCGTCTTTAATTGTAGATGTTTCAAGATCCCCTTCCTGGTTGTCACTCTCCCGCCGTCAGTCATGACAATGGATGGTTTCGCCGGTCTGTAGCAAGTCGAGGCGAGTCAACTCGAGAGTTCTTTTCTTTTTCTCCAAACACACCGTCGTCGTCGTCCAACAACCAACATCAACGCCTCGCCACAGAGGCTAACCGTGTCAATCCAAGGCCTGTCAGTCCCTGGCGATCTTCGTCCTTTTCTTTTCTTCTTCTTTCTGGTTTTCGCTTCAGTCTTGACTGATTGACCGATCGATTTGGTTATTGAAACTCCATGCCTTGAAAAATAGCCTCCAGTGCAAATTTAGTAAATAAATAGTAGCTGAAGGCTATTTTTCGCGGCCAGGCCTGAACCTATATCGTTCGCCTTTTCCACCCTTACTCTATTGTCCATTGGACTTAGTCTAGCCAATCTTACCCTCCGAAGTGCTAAGGATTTATCCAATCTGGTCAAATTGTCTATGGACGCTACCTCCTCTCCTCCAAAGCCCACATAGTTACCACGCTCAGCAAGGGATATTGTGAACGACGAACTTTACTACATGCACACGACCAGCCATGGTATCCAGCAGCGCGGAGAATACGGACTATGAAGCTGTGGGTTACAACCCCCCTCAGTTGCTTAGAAATAATGCTGCTAGATAAGAAGCTAGAAGGGAAATGAAATAAAATTAAAATAAAATGGATTGCTTATCGTATTCTTCTCCTAGGATGCCTTCGAAGACGCACAGGATACTGCACCACGTCCTGAATCCCCACTTCCCCAAAGCGCTACCCGTTCTCTAACCGACCGTCGACCTTCGAACGGATCTCTGACCACCCCCCGAGCCACAGTCCATCCTCCCTTGCCCATACCTGACAGGAAGCAGAGTGGCCATGATGATACGTTGTCACCAGTATCTCCCGTGGGAGATGATACCCCGAAGAAAAACAAACCCTCAAAATCGCCCCTATTAGCTGCTCACCGTCTCTCCACAACATCTCTTGATGAAATCAACTTGGCTGCTCCGAAGGAAGGAAATGGGGATGAGAAATCGCAGCAGACATCCCCCGACTCGTCAAGTGGCCCTCCTCCCCTTCCCTCAAGAGAATCCGCCAAACAAACTGGGCGCCTCCAGGGCTTCTCCGCTTCCCTTCCCTCTGTACCGTGGGGACCCCCTCCAGCAACCAAACATCAATCACCAACAACCCAATTAGCGAATCCCCCACAAACCTCGCGGAAACTTACCAGTCCGTTTGCCTGGCTTTCGCGGGCTAGCTCTGGCGGCAAAGATATAAAACCTTCCTCTGGATCGGGGAATAGCCGGAGAAATACCGCGGCCTCGATATCGACAGTGGGCAGCAATCCTGAATTGCTGGCCAGGTTACAAGAAGGTAGTGATGGGGATTCCGCCAGCTTCGATTCAAGGAGACGGAACAGCTTGAGAGACCAGTTCAAGTTGCTGAGAATACGGAACGAAGGTGTTGCCGATGAGGCAGCTAGTATTACCTCTGCCCATGATGAGGGCCGTGCTAGCACCATTGGAAGCCCAAAAAGCGAATCTGAGAAGAGCGAAACTGGACTTGCTGTTCCACCTGCGCCATCTCCTGTGGCAACATCACCAGGTCTGCCTCCAACTGTCAATCCAAACCTAGCGCCCGGCACTGTCTCTGGTATATCATCCTCCGCAACTGATGCCTCAGCTCCTGTTGATTGGGAACTGTGGCAACATGTTGTCAACGTTGGACCAGAGGCTCTTAAAGGATCCAATGCGGAGGAGTTGAATGCTGCTATCAAGAGAGGTATTCCACAAACGATCCGTGGGGTTATTTGGCAAGTTCTTGCAGACAGTAGAAATCCGGAATTGGAGGATGTATACAGAGAATTGTTAGCGAGAGGCACGGAGAAGGATCGTGATCGCTACTGGAGCATCAGTTCTGCCATAACTCTCAACGGCCAAAGTAACGGAGTTCCGAAGGATAAAGAGAAGGAATCGTTATCCTCTTCCCGGTCCTCAGTAGATTCTGATCTCTCGAGTCCCACAGTTAACTCAAGCAATGGCGTTGTCTCTCCCCCTTTGGTTCCAGAAAAAGACCCAGATCCTGTAATAAAAGCACAAGCAAGTCTGGAGGCAGCTCGAAAGCAAAAAGCAAAGGAAGATGCAATCGCTCTTCAGAAGCTGGAGAAAGCTATCAGGCGGGACCTGGGATCAAGGACCAGTTATTCAAAATATTTTTTGTCACAGCGCAACCAAGATGGGTTATTTGGACTCTGCAAAGCCTACGCGTTGTATGATGAAGGCGTGGGCTACGCCCAGGGGATGAACTTTATTGTTATGCCTCTGTTATTCAATGTAAGTTTTCACTTCGCTGCCTTTCACTTGAACGATGCACAGTTTAATCTCGTACAATCAACCTAACTTGGATAAAAATAAAATTAGATGGATGAAGGGGAAGCATTTACCCTTCTGGTTAAATTAATGAACAAATACCGCCTACGAGACATGTTCATCCAAGATATGCCTGGACTTCACATGCGCCTGTACCAGTTCGAGCGCTTACTGGAGGATCTTGAACCTGCCTTGGCTTGTCATCTGCGTCGACGTGGAGTTACACCCCAACTCTATGCAACGCAGTGGTTTCTCACCTTGTTTGCATACCGATTCCCGCTTCAACTTGTCCTCCGCATTTACGATTTGATATTCGAGGAAGGGCTAGAGCCGACAATCCTCAGGTTCGCTGTCGCAATCATGCAGCGCAATACCGAAGCATTGCTAGGGATGAACGATATGGCGTCGTTAACTAATTTCCTCAAAGAAAAGTTATTTGACGTCTATATCGACCAACAGCCATCTGCGAGCTCGATTCTCGAGTCTGGCTTCTTCGGCAGCTCTGGTTCCTCTGACAAAGAAGTCTATCGTGCTGATCTCATGGTCCAAGATGCGTGCCTTGTCAAACTTTCGGATGACATGATCAAAACGTATACTGCAGAATGGGAAGAGAAAGTCCGCGTGGAACAGGAACAGGCAGCAGAGTTGGAAGGGTTAAGGCACACTGTCGCAACGCAAGCCGCTCGCATCCGCTTGCTTGAGGAGCGCGCGGAGAAGTCAGACACGGAGCATGTGCAGCTTGCGTCAGAATTAGTCCGCCTCAAAGTGGAGAATGAGGAGCTACGAGATGCAAATGAAAGTTACAAGGTTGAAGTCGAGGAGCTGAAGATTGTTATTGACCGACAACCTGCCGAGCTGGAAGACAAGCTGCGGACGGAAATGGAGCGGATCATGAAGCGAAACATCGAGGTGCAGAACGAGAATAGGTCGATGGAGGAGCAAATGGCCGAGATGGAGAAAGATCTTGTTGATACAAAGTTGAAGTGGGCCGAGGTAAGAAATACATCTCTACCACTACCTTCCTAAAACTTATTCTTCCTTGTTTGTTCGTTCCTACTAATTAACCATCCACTTGGATCATTGTAGATGTCCGAAGAGCATGAGAGCCTCAAACAGAAATGGGTCGATCTACGAAAGGCCCTTGGTTAATATATGTAGTACGGGAACGAAATTCGATCATCTTATCCTTTCCCGCCTCTTCCATGCATAATGCATACACCACTTGCAATATACTCAAGCTTCTCGTTGTATCCTCTTTGCACATCCACAGCACATCATTTTGCATCCATTCACAATCAATATAAATATATACGTTCATAGATACGTGACCAATACCTGACTCCATCGCAACGTCGCCGCCACAAGAATTAGCAACGCATGAAGCCAACTGGCATTTACAAAGTACGAATTTTGTTTCAACGTAAAACGCTTTTCTTCGTCATTTCTTTTGAACAACCAATTGTGCTTTTTGCGGTTGTCGTCTTGTCCTCCCACTTCTATTTTCTTGTAATTTTCCTTTTCATCCCTCCCCTCCAACGATTGTGAGTTCTTCTTCCTTGGGTTTTATACAAGACCAAGTTTCTCTTATTCTTTCTTTTCCGCCACATAGAATTGCGGAAGTGGGTATGCCGGATGTGTTGGGCCGATCCACCGCCACCCCTTTTCTTCCCAAACTGAATATCCCGACCCAATCGTTGCTTAACTGATCAGGTTTCTTTTTCTTTCCTCTCATCACTGCCATGTAGTTTGTATGTCATCATATGCTCTCCTCCTTCATTCCCTCCGTCTTACTTCTTCGGTAATGATATAAAATTTTTGCTTTTATTTGCTTTTCTTATGTTTTCATGTTCGAACCCTTGGCTGTCGTTAAATGTGACACCATGCTTGTATTTCCCTACTTTCTGTCCTTTGATATGAATAATATGCTATTTTTCATAAACAAACTTTCCAAAACTGTATTATTGTATGCTCCTTTTTGCCCTCTTCCCTGCTCTTGTATCCCTGCTTCCCTGCGCTTGCCATGCGACACACGAGATACACTTATTCGGCAACATGCGCTCTTCGGCAGTGGCCACGTTTAATTAAGCATTCAAGTACTCTGCATAAGAATGCGGAGAAAGGTGCTGCACTAAACGGCAAAGCTAGAATCCAAGTGGGGAAAACATTATAAATGGAATTCGAAGAGGGGAGTGGTGCTAGGAAGGAGAAAATCTTGTCTCTAGATTAGCCGCGTTTCTATTCTATTCTATCATTCTCTTTCTTCTCGTCTCTTCTCTCTACTCCTCTTTTCTTCTTTTCACTTTTTCCTTTTTGTCTTTTTCTTTTCCTTGCTTGCTTGCTTTCTTTTGTTTTTGTTTTGGCTTTTATTAGTAGCAATAAACTACTATTGTTCCTATTCCCTACCTGGTAGTTCCATCTCACACCATAGCCAGATGTCTCCCAATCCAAAAAGGAAACAAAACGGAGGTGCGACTATAACCATATATTGACTCAAAGATTTCCCCGCGCCGCCTGCTCCCTCTCAAACGCCTCAAACAAACTTTTGAAATTCCCCGCGCCAAACCCATCGAAGTTATTCCGCTGAATCACCTCGAAAAACACCGTCGGCCGGTCCAGCACATGTTTCGTGAATATCTGCAGCAGGTACCCTTGCTCGTCGAAATCTATCAAGATGTTCAGCGCCTGCAATGTGTCTATGCTTTCGTTGATGACTAGGTTTCCTTTTTTATCGCCATGGACCCCTGTGTTACCGGCATTCATGGCAGCGAGACGGGCGCGTATAACGTCATAGTACGCCGCGGGCACAGAAAGGAACTCGACGCCCCTTTTGCGGAGATTGGTTATGGCGGTGATGATGTCGTTCGTGCGGAAGGCGATATGTTGCACTCCTGAGCCGTTGTAGTAGTCGACGAATCTGCGTGATGATGTATATTAATATACAAATATATATATATATATATATATATATATATATATGGGCCCGCGGGGAGAACGGATATTGAGTCCTCTTTCTTACTCTTCAATTTGGGACTTCTTCTTGCCCACTGCTGGCTCGTTTAGGGGCATTTTTATGACCTCATTGGGGGACGCGACAACAATGGAGCGCATGGAGGAATAGCCGGAGCACAGGGACTTGTCATCGACACTCCAGTAACGGTGGAAATTAAGACAGTCTTCGTAGCTATGTTTATGGTCATGTTAATTGGTGTCTGCCCTTTTGCTCATTCCATGAAAATCTCACCGAATAGGGGTAGCATTCATCATCAAAGTTGGGGTTTTCATACAATTTCACTGCCATGTCCAGGCCGTTCCACGGCTGGTTCCCAACACAGTGGTCGATTTCGATGAAGTCAATCGGAGGCAGAAGCTCGTTGATCGAGTCCCCTTGTTCCACTCGTACGTATCCAGGCAAGAAGCATCCCTTATAATGGTCCCTGTTGATGAGGGTATGCGTCGTGTCTCCAAACGATTTGATTGTGGCCATCTCTATTTGCCCGCTCCCAGGCTCGTCGCCGCTGATTATGGTAGGGTTCACCACAGAAATGGCGCCATTAGCCACAGCTCTCTCCCACTTAGCTTTAACGTCTGCATTTACCCGAAAAGCAACATCCTTTACCCCATCCCCGTGATTTTCCAAATGAGTGTGGATTTCATCCAGCAGGGCTTGCTCCCTGACGGATATCTGAAATTTACTTATTTCATCCGTGGCCAATTTCCCACAAACCGGAGAGGTCATAACGAAAGTAGCACCGCTGTTTGCAATGACATACGAGACCAAGGCGCGAGATCCTGTCTCTGGGCCGCGATATGCCACTGGGTTAAAGCCCATGCGCGTGATGAGATATGACGCCGCCTGTTTCGCATTCCCCACGTACCAAGTGATATGGTCGAAGCCGTAGTACTCCGGACCCAACATGGAGGGCATAATTTCGCCATTCTCGGACGTCGCGGTTGTGCTATCGAAACACAAGGAGGGCCCCATATTGAAGGGGTGGCCAAGGGGCAAGTTTGATAGCGATATTGCAGCACAGTTGAGATGAAAATGGCAAATGGCAGAGTTAAGTATAGAACTTCAGCGGGAAGAAGCCAGCCTTATTTATACGCGGTTTCAAACGGCGGCCGTTTTCGATGGTCTGATGGCGGAATGAAATCAATAGAACCGGAGAGAATACGAGATATGCGTTGAGAATTCATATATTTACTCGGGAGGAATAAACGCACATGCCCGATGCAGGCAAGCAAGGCGTTCATGGACTGAATAATGGGTTCCTGTGGATATATCGGGAGTCTCAGGCCGTCAAAGCCGCTGCACGACGGTGTTTTGAAGATTGTGAAAGAGAAATTGTCCAGGGATTGTGCTTGGCCATACATGCTCCGGGTTTGATGGCCGAGTTACCACGAAAAGTCAAAGTTTGCGCTTAAGAACAAAAATAGTTAGAAGTGGCGTTTCTTCTGGCCATGCAGCAGACTTGGAGTGCTTTTTGTCAGTGGCTCATTTTTCGGACGTCTTTGCCATTCAATATACGGCCAACAGAGACCTTTTCCTTTGGTATTTAAGAAAGAGCGGTGAGAATTAATAATCAGTTCCCATTCTAGGCTTGCATTAACTTGGTTGTGGAGATTGATTGTTATCCCTAGAGTGGATTAGGAATAGGGAATCTGAAGGGAACAATATATATCATGGAGATAGGGATAGATGGATGGATATATACATAATATACGAACATTTTGGAAAGGTCGCCATTAAGTAACTTGATCATCGTAGTAGTTAATCGTAATTATTGCCAATCCACGAGCAAACCCACCTATTACATTACGCCCCCAACTCACACATCCGAAGAAACTGGCTCGGGCCGTGAGGAGAATATAATCTTGTATCTGATAATATCGACAATCTCCAATTCATCACAGCTGTCACATTCCTCATCCTCCGTCCCCTCGTCCTCCAACATCTCCTCTGCCCGTACTTTTGCTTTCTGTTTCAGTTTATTTATCCCTCCCGCACGGTTCTCGGGATCCATCTCATCAACGCGTTGAATAGCCGCCAAAGGCCTTGGAAGTTTTTTTACCTCCCCCGTTAGCCGTTGGTGCCGGCCGACGTATAGATAGACACGCTTCATCCAGGAGTGATCGCTTGGATCATTATCTGTAGAGTCATTGTAATCCGGGAATATCAGGCGGCCAATGGGTGTCTGATACTGTGTCCGTGAAGTGGCGAGTCCGCTGGACTCAAGATCCGCGTCAAGGGTATGCGAGTCTTTGACTGTAGGTGGGTCTGGCAGGTTTATCGTACCTTGCAGCTCTAGCATTGCGAGTCCGGAGGGAGTTTGGAGGAGTTGCGGAAGGGGGTTTTCTTCTGCTGACGACGCACCACGTTCGCATGGCGAATGAAGGCGGACTGTTGGCATGGCGCGCAATTGATAAGTATGGAAACCTCGGTTTTAGAAAGAAGGAAGTGGGTTAGCTTAATATGCCTGCCACTGGTATCCCGCGAATTCCTCTGTTGTTCGTCGGCAGTTCTTCGGGGCGTTTTTGCACGCAGCCGTTGGTCTATGACGTCGATTTTTTCGGCTCCACTGTTTGAGAACCAACTTAGCTTTTTGTAACACCCCAGCTACAACTTGTAAAGAACACTTATACTCACGTTAACGCACTACAGTTGGAGGTGATACCCGGTGAGAACCAAAAAAAAAAGGATTGGAAAAATAGCTTTAGTAATTAGATTATCTAACATTGTGTGGATTTCTATTTGTATAGCAGATGTTGTATGCGTATTTGAATCCCATTTAAGGTTTGTGAGAGTAATGTTTCAGCTACCTTCACAAATATTACCCCAAAATATAAAATAAAATAAAACAACTACGAAATATGGGGGAAGGGACAGGTGCAATACATTGGATATACAGTACAATTACATCGATGGTTGGGTAGAGCCCTGACATACCCTCCGTATAAAAATAGAAACGTGTAAAAAGAACAGATAATGATATTTGCCTTCCCTGAATAGCGCATTTCCTTCTGCTCAGAGAGCAGTGCAGTATATTCCAGCTGCCATAGGAAATGCACATGCTTCATAGGAAAAGACAACAGGTAAACGTACCTTGGTCTGAGGGGGTTTAAATCTGTAAGACTTCATGGTTCAAAATTTGAGTTTACTTTGAGAATCCATATCAACTCTTACTCATTCAATAGAGGGTTTCGAGTCAATAGTTCAACAGCCCTTGTTCAGCGCTTCTTTCTTTCTTTATACTATCTTTGTTGGAAATTGGAGCGGATTATTTTTGCTTTTTCTTACAGGTAGCAGCAGGCCAGAAAAGAGAATGTTAAGACGCAAACTTGCTGTGTGAACTGTAAGAAGTATTCCAAAACAGTAGAAGCTGGCTGACCAGAAGAAGGGCAAACAGATCCTGAAATATGTGTTTAACAGCCACCCTGCGAGACTTCTAAGGCTAGATTCATTCAATGAATTCGATTTTTGAAGTGTCTTGAACGTTCTCCTATCACCGGGAGAGATGTGGGCGTTGGACATTCATTCATCGAATTGGCAAAGAACACTCAACCAGGAGGTTGAAATCTTCGGATTGGTGATCCAGGGTTTCTATAAAGCTGATAAAATCCTCCTCCTCCACGCCAACTTTCAATCTCTGAGCCACGGCTATTGTGTGTCCTGGAACAGGCCAGCTTCAAGGTAAAAGGGAGCACGCCACAAAGGCATTATAACTGTGTTGCGGATGCTAATTAATGAAAAGGGAAAGGTAGTTCCCATATCCCAGGAATAAATCTGGGAAGCGTTCAAACCAAAACCCCATTGATACCGGCCCTCCTTCCTATCAATAGAAATCTCCCCCACATTATCGCCGGATCGCAGACGACGGACGACAGCACGACGACCATGAGCCATACGGCGTCTCACACATGGTTGTCAAACGAAACACGAGAATTTGAAGCTTGGGCGAGGGTCCGAGATATGATGGTGTACGTTGCACCGAAATCCCCCTTCACGCCAAGAACCTTCGGGGCATGGATTACCCATAGACTCGCATGGATGGAAGAGGAACGTGGACGTATTTTCCGCCAAGCTATGGCAAGACAAGCGATCGAAAAAGGATGGCGCGAGCAGGTCCAGGTGGGTCCAGTGCTTGGAGGAAAGAAGCTACTAGATGGGCTGGCTTTAGTTCTCGCCAGGGAGACTATTTGGGCACCTCGAAGAGGCTACCACAGCATTCATAGTTTTGCCCCTTGGCCCAGCTACGAGGAGCTCAAGCACGAGGGCGATGACCGGAACAAATCCGGCTACTCTCGATTTCCTCCACTCCCCCGCGGTCGTGGGAATGAGACGGTGAACTGGAAACAACGAGCACCTATAAAGCAGTATCGATTCGACGAAGTCGGCCGTCCAGTGTTGGACACAACGAGTGTTCGTATTCAGGATCTTGAAGGTGAGATCCTGAGGCTTGTTGGTGGCGCTCTGCTAGCCGAGCTAGGGTGGCTGACTGCCATATCGTTGCATCGAGAAGATTGATGATGGAAGAGTGGAATATCCGTAGATAAGGACAAGACGGAGAGCTTCTAGGACGTCAGAATATCTTCGACCTGACAAATGTCTCTCACCACCCCACAAATTTTTTGCCATCGGAATAAAAGGAGCTTCCTCGAACAGAATGGGAAAAACCGCAAAACATGTATCGGTGAAGTTTTTCGTTTAGATGGGCGTGGCAAGGCTTTGGGAATCCCAGAAGTCTTTTGGATGATTAACGAGAAGGACTAAGAAGTTTCGATGATTTCATTTTCATTTTCTCAGCAGGGAGTTCCAGGCGGGTTGTAATTTTTAGCATTGACCTGTCAGGTTACTCGCTAGAGTTTAATTGTTGCTTGTAACTATATTCCGTGCTACCTACGGCCTTTTTAGTACGGTGCACTTTCAAATATATTAGAGCCCGACCCAATCCCATCATCTTGAAAGTCGTGAAAAGTGCTATGTTTGGGAGGTGGTTGCACTTGTTAGCCATGGCTGAGCATTGGATTGATGCTAACTTAGATTTTCTTAGAGGATGACTGGTAGCATTGCTAATGGGAAACGGGTAGCCCATGTTTTGCAAAGGCCCAGAAAGTAGCTTGTACCAATATATCCGCGGTCGAGAGGGTTTCTTTTGAGGGATCCAAACGAACAAGTTAAACGGTGGTAAAAGTTGATCAAGTCCTACCAGAGGGGCTGCACGCATTTTCAAGCTCTTTCAAACCCGCGATCGCATCTTCAACGGCGTTGGTGGCAACACCAGCAGGCTTGTTGAATTTTCCATATCGCAGATCGCTTAATTCCCCTACGGTAGAAGAAAGGTCCGCAAAAATACGTGCAGCTTCGGCATCAGCGGCTTCAATTTCCCGTTCCATCGAGGAGCAAGCATTTCCCATCTCCGGTAGAACGGAAGCCAAGGTGTGCATATCCTTAGGGGAAATGGTAGGCTCTCCTGGGCCGAAAAGCTGGATGTCCATCTCTGTTTCTAGTTTATCGTGTTTGTCCATTCCACTTACCCCAGTGGCTCTTTTTGCACTTCGGAGCGCTTCTCTTTGTCTCTCACCTCTCCATATCTCTTTGTCAATATTCTCCCTGACGAGATCAAGGTCCTGAGAACGAATGTGTTGCAATTCTCGATATAGGACCCTTACCTGTGGGTGGGACCGGAGGCGTTTGGGGAATAACTCCGTGAACTTTTCCAAAGAGATGATAGTAGGCAGCGGAGATGGGGAGAGAAGGAAATTTGCCAATATTGACACTTCGGAAGGGGCCATGGTGAATGAATGGCGACAACAATGAAAGAAAAGAACTGGGATTCAACCAGCCAGATTTTGCATCCAACTTGAAGCAGTTACAGCAGAGTACAAAAAGTGCCCAGGTGCACTTGAAACCGGCAATAGAACAACACAAACCGTACAAATTTAAAGCCCAGAAATGCAGAGATTGCAACAAGTATTCAGATCTCTCAGAGGGAAGAAGCCTTTGAATTGCGTTTAAATTTTTGTGTTTGTTGTCTCTATCTTCGCGCCGAAGTAGAGCTGAGGTTGATTTTGGCTCTGCAGCTGACATAAGCCTCGAGTCATCAACGCGTTTTAAGCGCAAAGTTACAGGATGGTAACGCCTGATACAGGGTAATACCGGCGCGTGATTGTGAAAAGATTCAAGGGGTCAGCAAGGCGCAGGATCTGTCCTCGTCGGTGACTTCCATACATCACAGCACACCTTGTCTGCTGTTCCTTCGATTCCACTCTGCACGGCAATGGTTATATCGCCCATACGAACATTTGGAATTTTCGTTTTAGGAAGACCTAGTGCTGCGAGGTGCTCGTCATCGAGTGCTTGACATCCTGTACGGGATTTCTTCCACCCTGTTTCGATAAAAGCATCAGTTTTGCTAGCTGAGCTTCTTTCGTACTTTGCAGTAATATCTATTGCCTTTGCTTGTGCTTTGTGGCAGTAGTTTCTCTTGCTTTCGCGAGTGTCTTCGGATCTTCAAACTTGCTGCTTGCACCAGTTCGCTCTCCCCTAGTCGGGCTGAAAGTACCAGCAGAGCAGAGGCTCTTAAACGCTGCAAAACCAGTGAAGAAGACTGGACATACTTTCCCCTGCTGTCCTGCTGTCATGCCGCCAGCAAATCACCCCATTTATCATAAGGATGAGAAAGTCTTCTGTTTTCACCATGAGATTCTGTACGAGGCGAAGATCCTTGAGGTCAGATTGACCGATCCAGACGACAGAAAGAGCCCCTACGAGTATCGGGTTCATTACAAGGGCTGGAAAAATACGTATGTACATTTCCTATCTTAGTTTTTGAGATGACGTGGTTTCTTTGGCTGGATTTTTCTTTCTTTCTGGACGCAAAGCTGACGGATATGTTACAGGTGGGATGACTGGGTTCTACAAGATCGCCTACGCAAAGCGACTGAAGAGAACAGAGAACTTGCCGCTACGCTTCGTCGTGATGTGGAAGCTTCTCTTCGTCAACGATCTAACAAGTCATCTGCAAAAAAACGTCGTAGTTCTGACATGAGCTCCAATCGAAACAGCGAAGAGAGGCATTCATCCGCTCCTGCCAAAGGCACGAAGCGATCAAGAGATGCTGAAATTGAAAAGGTATGTAACCAGTTTATTTTTGATGCTACCTAGTACATATTGTGTTCCGATTTCTCTGAAAATCACGTATCATTACCATTGTTGTGTTGGTTGTTGTTTTTGTTTTTGACTTGAATCGCCATATCGCCTTGCATGACGTGTTGACTTGTGATTTGCCACAGGAGGAGCATTTCAACGCACGCCCATCCGTAAGGATAGTGATGCCTGATAACCTCAAAGCACTCCTCGTAGATGACTGGGAAAACATCACAAAGAACATGCAATTGGTACCACTTCCCGCAAAAGTCTCAGTCAACAAAATCCTCGATACATACTTTGAGGAGGAGAAAGCCAAAAGAACTTCCCAGGCTCAAGTGGACGTGCTGGAAGAAGTTTTGTCTGGCATTAGAGAGTATTTTGATAAATGCCTTGGCCGGCTGCTATTATACAGTTTTGAAAGAGAGCAATATCACATCCTACAACGGAAATGGGAATCCGGGGCAGAAGGGTTCGTCGACAAGGGGCCATGCGATATATATGGCGCTGAACACCTAGCTAGATTATTTGGTAAGATTTATCCAAGAGGGGCTAAGCTAGCCCTGCATCCCCTACTTGTATTCTGCTCTAGCTCTTCTACCTATTATGCAAACCAGCGCTGACTACATCCCCATTTCGTTCACAGCCTCGTTGCCAGAACTTCTCGCGCAAACGAATCTTGGCCAAGAATCTACCAACCGTCTGCGTGAGGAATTGTCTAAGCTTGCAATCTGGCTGAGTAGGAACTCTGAAAAGCTGTTTGCAATCAAATATAAGATCCCCGGCAACGAATATGTCGACAAGGCAAAGGGAGTTTCAAACCCGGATGCCCCCGGAACCGCAACATCCCGCCTATTTTAGAATCGACAAGTTTCGATGGCCCTCTGACAATGAGGGAATGGACACACAAATATCTTGTGTTGAAACTGGTGATATGGTAGCATCTTTTATACGCATTTTGCAAAGATGAAATGATATAGGACAACTTAAAGATGCGCACTTTGGATATTCTGCAAAATTGTGTCGAGGGAGGCAAGCAAGGGCTACGCAGCCTCCGTCGTTGTTCACCCAGGCAGGCCTTTTATAAATTTCTGAAATATGCTCCTTTCTTTCCTACGAAGTCATGGCATGGATGGAATGAGATATTGGGTGATTATCTTTACATTTGTTTCCCGAGATTTCCGCCACTTTTTCCCACACGTGACGCATACGATCATTTTCGGGTGGTATAAGCACGCTTTTTACGCATTCTCTTGACCCGTTTCTTCGTTTGTATTGTCTCTTTCTATGCACCTTAACGGTTTGTAATATTTTCTTTTTTTCTTTTTTATTTTTTTATTATTTTATTTTATTTTATTTTATTTTTTTTTTTCCCTTTTGCCTCTATATTTTCTCGGCGCTTTAGGTTTATTATACGTTAGATATATATATAGCTGCTAGATCGAGCTATGGAAAATTTCAGGACGTTCCATTTCTTTGACAACTAATAGAGGAGACATGTATATATTTTCTTCTCCACTCTCGAATTCCTGTTTTGTGAGAATGGATAATGTTTTTCCATGGCGATAATCTAAAGGGGCGATGAGTATAGATCTATATAAGTATGACGGGGCTTAGGCCAGTTTAAAACTACCCCCGAAAAGCAAGAAAATAGAAATGTCATATCCCATCGAACCCAGGCAAAAGAAAACCCATGGGATGAGATGGGGAGCGCGCGGGTGGGATGTACAGCGCAACAACTTGACTATGTAGCCGGCTACACAACAACGCTAAATAAATATCATAATGTCAAGAGAAGAGGAAAAATCTTTAAATCCTAAAACGTGAAATACGAAAGAAAAGACACCGCGCCACACACGTGCGCACGAACGAACCATTAAAACCATACCGGAATACAACAGGGAACCCCGAGAAGGTCCCCTAGTTCCTTCTTACTCCTTCACTAACTTATCGCCACCACCACCACCTCCTCCCCCTCCCCCTCCCCCTCCTCCGCTCGTATCGACAAGAACCGGCACCTGCTCTGCCTTCGATACAATCACCGCCCTAGCATCATCGACTGCGCAGCGCGCGATCCGCTTTAACTTCACCTTCCAATCCGCCTCCCTCCACTTCGCCCAAAGGTTAAGCTCTTCCTGAGACCGGATGCTCAGAGTCTCGTACCCTTGCTTGATGATCTGGTGAACTTCGCGCGGGCTGAGATTTTTCTTCCTGCCAATGGCTAGGATTTCGGCGGCTGGCGTTGGGGTGGTGGAAGCTGCTGTTGATGTTGTATTCTTGGATTTATCGGCGAGGAAGAGGAGGGAATGGAAATGTGAGGCGACACTGATGAGGGTGTCTATGGAGTGCGTGGCAGAGTCAGTTGCAGCCGTGGCTGGGGCAGCGGTTATGATTTGTGCGTTTGCGGGTTTGTTGGACGTTGACGGTATTGTTGGTGAGGAGGAGAAGGAGCGTTCGTAAATATCCCTAAAGCGGGTGAGTATGGGTCCTGTCTCGACGACTTTGTAAAATAGATCATCGTACGACGCTGGGTCTGGGAGGAACGTGTCGCCAGCGGATACGCAGAAGGCGATTAGGTCGATGAGGGAGGTAGCGAGGCTGTGAATTTGAGGATTTGAGGTGAGGCTCGTGGAGTAGGTTGTTAGGAAACGGGTGAGAGTGAGCAGGGTCCGCCAGAGCTCGGACCAGTGATATGCGAGGCGTGTTTGGGTTGAGGAGACGTAGGTGAGGAGGCGGAGGAGGATGGAGATTGTATGACTGTTCAATTTAATCCGTTAGTGTATGTCTGTGTCACTTGTGGTATAATAATCGAGTACGAACCAATACAAGTCGACGTCAAGTTCCCTGCGGAGGTTGTGGTTGATAGTATCAATCATGATATCGAAGACAACAGTCGCAAGGATTCTGTCTTCCTGTATCAAAGGGAGATACGGTGCTCGCTGGCGACAAAGTCGTACAGGGCGCTTCATCTCCTCGCTACAGATCTGTTTACATAGAAGGGGCTCTTCCACGAGTATGCGAAGTGAGAACAGATTGGTCTCTGCATAGAGTGTGACCCTGGTAGATCGATATGCATGTTGGAGTAAATATGATGTGAATGAGAGGAAACTTGCAAAGGGGGATTCCTCAGAGCGCTTCTCTGGCATGTATGAGACAAAACTGAAGCCAAACAGCTTATTCGCGTTGACGAAATCGTAAATGGCAAGTAATATGGTCGCTTCGGGAGAGGGACTTTGGTTTTGTCAGAAACCACTGTTCTCCGCTGCACATATTGAAGGGGGGACAAAGAAGGAATCCACCTACAGAGCTCCAAATCGTGCTTTAGCCTCTTCTGGAGTCAATGGTGTCTTAGCTCTGCGACCAGGAGCTAACGCCCCAAGGCCAAAGAAGGCTAAAGTTGAGCTCAAATTCCAACCCTCAGGAAGATCATCCTGAACGGCAACGTATCCGTTGCGCAATGCAGTGCATGTTACGCCAGTTCCACCGACAATTTTCTGAATCGTAGATTCGTTTACAAAGTCATCAAGTCGTAGCTGGTAAGGGTTCTGGAATTCGAATTTGTTGTAGTTTGATAGAAGCCCCAGGAGTACAAACGGCTCAAATATTTGAGTGCGGATGTTTGAATCATGGATAAACTATAATTTGATCTACAATCAGTATAAATTGGTTTTTGGTTTCGTGAATGTAGGAGAAGAAATCGTCCAACCTTCATCAGGGCAGGGAAAATATCCCGATGCATGAAATAAGATATAAGGCTTGTTTTGTAGCCTCCGCTAGTCATTGATATTGCAGCCTCAACAGCTTTGAGACGTATTTCAACTATTTTGATAAGAGCTAATTAGCCACTATAATAATACAGAAAGCATATTCCTTTAAAACATTTCGTATAGAATACCATACAGCTGGTTCCGTTTCGTATGATCCCGTCCAGGGCCGCGACAAAGTTTGCGATAACATGGTCGACTTCGTCAATGCCAGCGAGGACGGTGATGATATCAGAACTCGGGTTGGTGTACTTCTTAGTTAAGACGCCACCTAAGAAAGTTGTCAAGGTCTGTTTTCAAAGCTCTCAGTAAGTCTTTTTGGGCGGGAAATTGAGAATGCAGTCGTGCTAACCTCTAGCGCATAAATATTTGATGGGGATTCCCCAGCAGCAGCCTCTTTTATGGCCCTGGAGAACAGCTGTTGAGTTTGAAACTACAGATTATATTAGTCAAATTCTAGACAACTACCTAACTATGCATGCGAATAGACAAACAGGCACATACATGAATTTGCAAGATGTCATCAGGATTGATAACGTCCAGTATCTGACTCAATCGAACCCTCTGCGGTGGGAGAAGAAAGAATTCTCTCCAGAATCCTTCCGACGGGTCTGCATCCTCAGCGTTCTAATCATTTATTAGAAGAAGGCCGGTGGATATATATTGGCTACAGCGGTTTGAAATAGTTGCAACATACAAGGAATAGGGTCTCGTAAAGCTTGACGATCTTGGGCTGGAAGGTGTCTGGTCTGGATTGCTGGGTTAGCGGAGAGGATTCCATGATGTGGGGAAGATGACGCCCGACGGCCGCGCAGTTTCAAGGTCTATTAGCAGTGGGTGTGTCAATAAGACATAGACATTCAAGGGTATTCATTGTCCCGCGAGCAGAATACAATAAGCATGATTGATCCCAGGGCATTTTTACACATGGGTCGCGTTCAGCCGCTTGTGGCTTTTACCTCCCCAACCCACCGCTTTGTCAGCGTTAGCCGCGCGGTTACTAGTGCGCCCAACTGTTTGCCCCGTGGATCAGTATCTTAGACCTCGGGACGTAGAGAAATCAACTGCGCCTGTGCTTCAATCCAAATAAACGAGACTATTTATATTCAGGTGACCACTGCTGGCTACTTCTGCATAGGGAGACCATAGTGTGAAACAGCCACACGAGATCCTGAGAAGGTATCGGCGGTACCCTTCCATACCGTTCTCATAGGATACTCACCAACGCAGGACAATGCGTTGAAACCCGAGGCTGCTGATTGGCGGAAATTGGTGTTGCTGTGATTAGTCACCCACCCCCGGACCGCATTCAACCGACTACTTCCATGTTTTTTGTCATCCCAAAACCCTTCGTCCCTGGATGATTCCTATCATTGACCATCCTCCCTTGCTCATTCAATGCACCACCCTCCTTGGGCTGTGTATGCCATATATATAGACTATTGTCGATTTATCTTCTCTTGACCATGTCGTTCTGTTCTGCTCTTCACCCAACGGTGACATCATCTGGTCTCCTCCGATCAGTGACCACCAAGCTGCCTCGACGAGCGGCATGCCCTCTTAGCCTCCGGTCATTCTCATCATACGGCTCATCTAATCATTCCTCGAAGCGTAAATTACAGACTGCAACCGCCTATCAACCTTACCCTCTTCTAGAGTCTCTCCCGCCCCCCGCTCGTAAGTCAGACAGCGTATCCGAAGCCTCAATCGCTGTCGATAAAAATTCCATGCTCGGCAAATGGCAATCGGGATCATCGAATCGCGCACATCCACAACCACAGCAACCTGAGAGCGTTGAATCCATCAACAAGTCAAACGCTACCAGTTCCCCCGAAGCTGAGGCTCAGATGTCTAAGCTGATAGCTCCCCCCTCTCCCTCCCCTTCCCCCTCCGCAAACCCCTCCGCAACCGCCTCCGCAACCGCAACTGCCACCCCCCCAACATCCGCACAATCCCTAACACCCAAGAAAATGCGACGGGTCAGCAAACTGAAGGCCCGGAAGACGGCAATGCACATCACTCCCGAAGCTATTTTACATCTTCGCCAACTAACTGACCAGCCCGATCCTAAGCTGGTTCGCGTTGGCGTGAAGAATAGGGGATGCTCGGGGTTATCTTACCATCTAGAATACGTGGATAAACCTGCGCCATTTGATGAGGTGGTGGAGCAAGACGGAGTCAAGATCTTGATTGACAGCAAGGCCTTGTTCAGCATAATTGGCACTGAAATGGACTGGCAAGAGGACAGCCTAGCCAGCCGGTTTGTATTCAAGAATCCAAATATAAGTAAGTGACTTAGGTCTTTTTTCGTCCCAAAATTTCGACACGAATATATATATAGCTTGCTGACCATTGCTGTGGTGGCAGAGGACCAATGCGGCTGCGGCGAATCGTTCATGGTGTAAAGATTTATCTACAATGAAAGAAAAAGAAATTGGTTGGACTTTGTTTTTATAGGTACATACACAAACGCTATATCTCCGGGGTGGATTGATCATCCGGAGTTTGGGATGAGATTTCTTCTTGGCTGTTTTCAATTTTCTAATAACCTCTGAAATTTTTCTTATATTAAGTATTGTCATTTTTATGGATATACCCGTCTCCACTATCTATGTCACATTTTATTCTAGAGGAGCTCTTCGCCCCCGGCCTCCTCTCTTTTTCTTTCTTTGCTAATTGGCAAGATAGCCTAAGCGAAGTGTATACAGCCAACATGTACAATTCTTTATTCTAACACTACCTGAAAACAATATGACGAGAAGACTTCCTCCTGACAATCTATAGATGCGCTACTAGTAAGTGAGACAACTAGGATATCATTCTGGTATCAACATTGTTGACTCGCCACTCTTGGAGTTTGCTAAGAATCACGTGCTTAATTTTGCGGGCTCCAACCAACATAGAAAATGCATCACAAAATCCGATCTACACAAGTAAATGAAGAACATCTCCAGCAAAGCAACTATGACAGAACACTTCCCCCCCGACCTCACCCTCCTCCTCACAATCCGTTTCTCTGCCTCAATCCCAGATGTCCTTCTTGAAATCCCTGACCCAACCCGCCTGACAGCCGCGGGCCTCAAACAACTCATCCGCCAACATCTCCCACAGGACCTCTCCACACACCGTCTCCGCCTCATATATGCTGGCAAGGCCCTCAATGATACCTCTCCGCTCGCCTCCAGTCTAAAAATCGCGTCTACCATATCTGGGGTCGGACATAATAACCATAAGACCTCATCCCCGTTGCCGGATTACTCCTATGTCGTCGGTGCTGGGAATAGGAATGTGAAAGACAAAGGCAAAGCACCCGTGCGTGATCCGCCCACACCACGGCTACGGACGTATATTCACTGCTCGATCGGAGATATCATCCTCTCCGCAGCAGAGTTAGAGGCGGAGGCGCGGCTTGCGCGTGCGGCGGAAGAAGATGATACGGAACGGTGGGAAGGGACCAAGCGGCCAGTGGTGGATAACAAGTCCTCCTCTCTGCTTATCCCTTCTTCTTCTTCTTCTCTCAACAACCCACCACAATTCTCCTCCTCGTCATCGTCCTTAGATACTTTTGCTGCCGCACCGCGTGGTACCATTTCCACTTCCACTTCCACTTCTACACACCATGGCCATGGCCAGCAGCACGCCCAATCAGCATCCACCTCCACCCGTCCATCACCTACCCCCACTGGTCCCAGAGGCTTCGACCGCTTGTTAGAAGCAGGCTTCACATCTGCCGAAGTGTCCGCACTGCGTTCGCAGTTCCTCGCCCTCCAGTCCCTCTCGTATACGCCGGATACAATGCCGTCCGGCGCGGAGCTGCGACGCCTGGAAGATATATGGATGGACGAGGGGGCTTCTGCGGGCTCGATGGAGATGGGCGGCAGCGGCATGGGGACAGGTGGGGCCAGTGGCAGTGGTGATGCGGGGATTGCGAATTATGGGATCGGGACAACGTCGGGGGCAGCAGGACCGCTGGATGACATGCTGTGGGGTTCGGTGATGGGGTTCTTTTGGCCGGTGGGGTGTGGGCTGTGGTTGCTAAGGGAGCAGGGGGTTTGGAGTTGGAGGAAGGGGTTGGCGGTTTTTGTGGGGATTGTGGTTAATTTTGGGTTTGGGTGGTGAGGTTTTTGAACTGAGACGGTGGGAACAGGGGAGACCCGCGGGAGGAACTGACGAATGCTATGATATTTGTAAAAAAAAAAAAAATTCATTTTGTTTTATGAGCCTTTGCCCATCCCTTCTTTTTAGCCTGAGGCATGAATTGATCTGTAATGATAGATGATACAGCATAGATACCCAGAGTTCTGGCAGAGTTTTAGTTTACAATGAAATCGCTATATTATTGTATTCGTTCAGCCGATTGTCTCCATCGGACCCGCTCCTCAGACGGTGCGTAAACCGGGGATTGTAGTAGCAATAAAGAATAGTCGTATGGTACAAAATCAATATCACAAACACCAATAGAGATAACGAAAGGTGGGCGGACAATATAAATAAAAAGGAGACGGTTCGCCTAAAACACCAAAACTAAATTAAGACGCAATAATATACCCAAAAAGAGAACGCTCAGTGAAACTTGCTGTATATAACAGCAATGATAAGAAGGACCAAAACGGTTATGATGGCGAGAGTAATCATCCGATTCGTAGCCATCCTATTCACATGAATCAGTTACGTCACACCCGACAGCTATTTAATGGTGTTTAAATTTAGGATACAATACCTACGAGCCATCCCCCTCAGCGTCTTTACGCTACGATCCACGTAGCCTTCACTTTCCAGTAAGCCAGCTCGGGTGTGTTCGATGGTCTGGCGTTGGATGTATAGATCAGCTAATGTGTGCCGTCCAATATCCTCGGTTTCCTGCGCTATTCTCTGACTATCCCTTAGACGGGCGGAACTCCGCTCTAGACGTTCAGTTCCGGATAGCAGCTGCTGTCTCTGCTCCAGATGGTGGTCGTTTACGCCGTTGGGTTCATCTGTGTATCGGTCGCCAAAGAGCGCTCTGCGGTCATCTGAGAGGGCTTTAAGCTGACGCTTGACGTCGTCGATGTCTGTTACGAAATTGCGGAAACGGGCATTCACTTTCGAACGGGCTGCGGACGGGATGTTCTCTTTCTCTATCCGCATTTGATCTATCTATGTGTTTTTGAGCGGGGACATGTGTAAGTCAGCTTGTTCGTCCTATGCGCCAAATAACCAGATAGCGACCAACGACAGGTCAAGAAACCACAGGAGAGAGACTGAATAGGTAGGTAGGAAATACACTTACTAGTTCGGTGGCCTCCTCTAATGACTTCTCCGCTTGTTTTATGGCTGACTTCCTTTCCTCTCCCTGGTATTCTGCGATTTGGTCGAGTTTCTGGTTCAGGTCTGCCTGGACCAACTTAAGCTCAGCTTCATAGCTGCTGAACAGCTCTGAGCCGGCACCTGCATCGAGAGGACTCGCCATTTCTGATATATCTTAAATGCAAAACGGAATATCGGGTCGGAAGCGAGTTTTGGCTGGTTTCTGGTCTTATTGATGGTATGCGACTTGGAGTTGTGATGATGCCACGACGGGAAACTACCTGGGCAGTCCCAGCCATGCCTCCCAGCCATGCCAAGAAGGGCAATAAATAGGTACATAAAAATACTTTTATTTACACATATTTACACATATTATTTTTGTATTTAAAAGTACCCCTTCTGGTTTATCTCCACGTGATCTGATCCATTTGACCTCGGGAGGATCCATATCTACCACTGCAGAATACACGTTCAACTGTGACCTGCAAGTTGTACACAAACTGACCCCAGTGGGAACGGCTGTTCACTCCCCTGATATTGGAAGAAACGCTAACGTCATATACTCGAAAAGCTAGAGTGAGAAATCAGGGATGCTCCCGTTCATCCGTCCTCCTGACTAGTCAGACATTCTACTGTCGTCAATAATAATATATCATCATTTCTTCCTATTTGTGCAAAGCTATCTCCATTTAGGTCTGGCGATACCACTATGCGAGTACCTCTGAGGCCATCCGTTTGATATAGATTCTGTTTGCGCGGAGAACATCAGGCTTTGATTTCATTCGGCGGAATCTTATCTATCGGCATCTAGTTAGCCATGTTTTATTTCTAGGGGCTCTGCTAATCGTATTTTTGAGTGTACCCTTCGTTCACTCGCAGTATCCACCCAGATCTCACAATGGCTCCCAAAAGAGTCGCCATTGTTGGCGGAGGTTCTTCCGGCCTAGCTGCATTCTGGGCCCTGAAAGACACTGGGCACGAAGTCCATCTTTTCGAGGCCTCGAGCAGATTGGGAGGTCGTACGCATTTATTTCAGTATGAGAAAAGAGGAAAGCGAATTGGGATTGATACAGGACTTGTATATTTCAAGCCTTCCACTTCACGTCAGTTTGCTTCCGTACCTTGAGCTTTGTCTCAGGAGCTTACTTGGGAAAGCAGCAAATCTACACGCATTTCTGCAGGAGCTTCAGATACCTTGCCGCGACACCAAATTCTCAGTGTCCTCGTCTCAGATCCGGGATTCGTTTGAATGGAGAACCACGTCGTTATCCGCTATTCTCTCCCGCAACTTATTCCGGATAGATATGTGGAGGATGTTGATTGATGTTGCGAGGTTCAATCATTTTGCTCTCGATCTATTGAGGAGTGGGCAAATCACCAAAAGACAACGATCTCGAAGGCGGAAGAACTCCAAGCAGCTTCAAAATCATGAACAGTCTCAGCAGAGCATCGGCGCATACCTGGCCAACGAAGGCTATTCGAATTCTTTCCGCGACCACTACATAATTCCACTTATTTCCGTTTTGTGGAACGTCAACAACGCAAAGGATGCATTGGAACTTCCCATAGTTCTTCTTCTACGCTTCATGGCGGACTGCGATCTCCTCCGGAGCTCTTTGTTTTGGTCAAAATGGATGTGTCTAACGGGTGGTATTAATGAATTCGAGGCCGCAATTGCAAATATCGCACCCGCTGGAAGAATTCATTGCAATACGACCATCAATTCAATTAAAAACAGTGACAGTCCTGGATGGCTAGCAGTGCAAGGGGATGAAGGCCATATAGAATATTTTAATCACGTCATCATCGCGACGTCGGCGTATGACGCTTTAAACTTGATATCAGCCGGGGCGACTGATGTGGAGGTAAGGGCACTGGACGGGTTTAAAACAGCTAGGACTGTCGCTATCCTGCATTCTGATACGACGGTGAGTTCCAAATTTATCCTTTCCCAACTCATGCTCGGACTTGGAATTTGTGGCAATCAACCATTTTCTTTGAAAAAGACTTTATTTTCTATATATTAAGTTAACGACAATATTCGCCATCGATAGCTGATGCCGAAACGAAAACGCGTCTGGGCGACTTTTAACCACATAACGAAATCCTCGCAACCCAATTATCTGGACACTAGCCAATTCTGCACCTCCTATTCTATGAATAGCCTGCAAGGCCTCTCAGAAGAAACATTCGGTCCCGTCCTTATAACCCACAATCCCGTATCTCCTCCCCACCCACTCCGGGTGCAGGGAATATGGGAATACCCACGCTTCATGTTCAACAATCGTGCACTGAAATCACACGAAATTCTCCAACAGATCCAGAACACGCGCGGGATTAGTTACTGCGGCCCATGGACCAGATACGGGCGGTACGAGGATTCAGTTCAGAGTGCGTTTCAGGTAGCAGTGGATCATTTAGGAGCCGAATTACCGTTCAGGGTCATGGGCAGCAATGCACTTGTTTCTTCATCAGATGCCGTGAAACGATTGCAAGTTGAAATCTTGACCAAAAGAGAGAGACTGGCTAGGTTGCTTGTAAGGATTGTGTTGGTGATCTACTGCTTTCTGGGGATTGTGAGACGGGTTGTGCTCTACTTCCACAGGAACTGGGAGAGGAGGATGGGGGAGATGAATGATAAGAGAGGAAGGGAATAATAAGGCGTGGGGGTGTGTTGTGAAGGTATGCCACTGTATATCTCAATCAAGGCAGAGTGCAGGAATGATTTTTAGGGGTAATATTCTCTCGATACGCTTTGATCCCTCAGGTGTAAAATTTTATTTATTTTATTTTGACGAATAAGAATCCCAATTCCACCGCCATCGCCTAATCATAAAATAACAGATGTCAAAAGGAGAACCGAACACAAAGCCAGAGCGGACCGCACAACGAGCAGATTAGGATAAGTCGAACCTGTTGTTACAACGTTGGGGGAAAGAAAAGACATGGCATGACATCACATTAAGATAAAAAGATAAATTAAAAAGAAAAAAATTCAAGAAATAAACCCATTACCATCCCCGCTCGCCACAACCCCAGCGCTCCTCTTCGCATCGATAAACAGATCCTCACACTCCGCAATATCCGCCTCTTCAATCCCGCCAGCTCGCCCATTTACCCGTGCCAGGATGCTCGCCGGCGACAGTAGCTGCAACGCATAGCGCAAACTCACTTTACTTCCATGCTCCGCGACTTTCTCCAGCGCCGGCTCGCTGATGGTTAAGCCCTCTATCTTCGCACGCAGCCGCACGATAGTTTTTATCTCTTCGGGGTTATAAGCGTGAGTAGGAATTATTAGAAGGCGCGCTAGGAGGTCCGGGGGGATGCCATGAGCGGCTACTATGTCTCCTGTGCCGCGTACGACGGTGTTGCCACGGTTTGAGGCGAGTATTACGATGGGGGATATTGAAGACTCAAGGGCGCGGTTTAGGTAGGTGAAGCATTCTATATCGAGCATGTGGACCTGGGTTGGGGGAATTAGTCTACGGTATTCTTGTTTCCTTATTGGGTATTTCGCAGGTGAAAAACGTACTTCATCAATGAACAAAACGCCGGGAACCAACTCGGCTACGCCTTGGTCAATGTATCGGTTTACAACTTTGTTGATCTCCTGACGCAGTTTGTCTGTAATTTCGGTCTTCTTGGGTTTCATAAGTTGGCCCATCATGCTCATGACATCCTGTCCTCCTTGTGGTCTGGCGTTCGCAATATCCAAGTCATGTAGCGTGACGTCTTGTACGATTTCCTTCTTCTTGTGAACGTCGCCCTTGGGGACAGGTACGTATTCTTCCGCTTCCAAATCAAACTCAGTGGCATACGCGTCAGATCGTCCGACGCGCTTGCACGCACCAGTGTTGGCTTCGATATATATTACATCGCCGACAGTGACTCTTTCCTTCTGAATCGCTTCGTAGATGCTAGGGTCCAGTCGCAGCTTTTTCGTCCCTCTGTAGGATTTGAGCCCGATGATCAGATGGCTTATGGTCCTTCCGTAGCCTCCCAATGGGTTCTCTGCTTCCTCCGGAGTGAGCTCCGTCACTTCACCTTCGTAAACTTCCTTCGTCTCGCGCACTCGTAGTCCTAAAGAGCGAAATTAACACCTAAAAGCGAAAAATAAATCTATAGAGTGGCACTAGATGAAATCTATTACCAATTGCCCTTCGAAAGTTTTCCATGAGCGCCTCCGTTTTCTTGACCTCCGCCGAGAAAACCTCACTACCCACGATGGGACAAAAAGGTACTTTGGTGCCCAATTCTTGCGACACAGCCAGCGCCAAAGCCGTCTTCCCCGTTCCCGGTCCACCCGCAAGTAGGACTGCTCGGCCCGCCATTTTCTTCGCTTTTATCATATCGACCACCACACCGCAGGCCTGAGAGGAAATACCCAGACTTAGTCCTTGCAGAACAGGGAATAGAGATACAAATGACAAAGGGAGGGATCTGAGCAAACCTCTCTCGCCGCTGCCTGCCCAACAAAACCAGCGCTTGTGGGTTCAGCAGTGCCATCAGGCCGTAATCCCAAACCCTTGATATGGGTGTGTGCCGCAGTTCTATTCTCTCGCGAATTTCCTTTGACCTCACTGATCTGAACCATGGCGGGAGACGTCTCTGCGTAGCGCAGATGAGCTAACAGTTAAAAGCAATCAAAAATGGAGAAGGACTAAATCTGGAGATGAACAATCAAAAGGGTATGTGTTGTATAGAAGGATGGTGGTTTTTGAAGCTTCCTCATAGTGTGCTTGCGGCTCTACAGCCAGTTCCGTTGGAAAAGAGGTGCTAGTCTAAACTAAGCCTAGTGTGATAAAGTCTGTTTTAATCAATCGGGTTGCACACAGTAAAAACATCTACTAACGACCTTTTACTTCTTAACCCTTATACGGTCCGTATGAGAGGAACCAAGTCTCCAATTAATTCTCCTCCTACCATGCTTGGGCTCTAGCAAACGATAGTCGCCACAATGTCTCTCCGCTTGACCAAATCGTTCGCACTCTCCCGCCCTTCTTCCCTCCTCCAAGCATTCCGCACCCTCTCCTTGGCCCCAACTCGATCTCTCTATATTTCTGTAGACCCTGCCAAAGGGCCGCCAGAATATCCTTATGGGCCCGCTCGATTCTTCAAACAATCAAACACAGGCCTCTATGGCGGGTCTACCATCCAATTCGGAAACAAAATCTCCAAGGGCCGAAATAAGGGAAAGACAAGACGGACATGGAAACCTAATATCCGTCACGAGGAACTGTACAGCGAAGCCCTGGGGAAGACATTACAGCTCAAAGTCCAACATCGGGTATTGAGGACGATTAAGAAAGTGGGCGGCTTGGACCAATACCTCTTGGGCGATAAACCGGCCAGGATAAAGGAATTGGGCATTTTCGGATGGAATCTGCGGTGGAAAGTGATGCAGTCAAAGGCGATGCAGAAGAAGTTCAAGGACGAGCAAAAGGAATTGGAATTGAAGGCCGCGGCGGAATTAGAGTCGAATGATCAGGAGAAAGTAACTGCGCCCCGGAGCACAGAGTGATCGAGCTTTTTCGATTATGCAATTGGGATGGATGTATACATTCGTTTGATTAATACATCGAGACTAAGAGAGGGTGTCTTAAGCCCAATGCCCACCCAGCTTTGAACTATTTTAAATCCTCAGCCAACCTTAGTAGGATGGATGGCTGACGGATATCTCCAACAGATTGCTCACGCAGGTACTGCTACCAACAATGAAATGTAAATTAGACAATGTATTTTTTGGATATTCGGCAATCAATTTCTTTCCTTCCTTTTTTCCAGAGTGGGGACATCTAATCTCCATAACCACCACATGTGCCGCCTTTACGGGCCACACAAAATTTCATATTACGTGCTACTTGACAAATTTCATTGCACTCAATGAAAGATAACCTAGCCTCTTGTACCCGTGCATAACTATCCTTATTTTCAAAACTGTATCTGGGAACACTGTTAGAAACATTTGAGTATTAAGTCCGGAATACTCCTTCCATTGAGTTGAATGTCTCACATATATACGTGTCCCTCACACACAAACGCCATGAGACCGCCTGACCTATCAGTTGTCCACAGAGAGGCAAAGTAAATCAAAATACTAGTTAGTATATAGTAGCCTTGATACACCGGATCAAATACATCGCTCTGTTCTGCAGATGCGGATAATCTTGTTGTTCCGCGCCGATGTCTAAACTAGCCTGAAATTCGCCAACATGTAACATGGAAGATTGATTGCAAACGCAGAGCTCCTAATATGGAAAAAAGAACCCCTGGAGGGAAACAAAACAAGGCCACATGTCAAGGTCGTCCAAGGGGAGGGTTTGATTATTGCTGTCTCCCAGCATCTCGCAGCTGGGGGAAAACGTTTGGATTTTCGGAATTTTAATTATACAAAAGATGCAGTTCGCCCTGCCCCCGCGCAAGCCCTCGCATCATGTCCCATATACGCGGCTATCTCACTCCTTAATAGCCCGTCGCCGCAAGTTGAAAGCAGGTGCCATATTGGCTTTCATTGCATTCTCGTTCCTTTTCTTGTTTTCTCGACTCTTCTCGCCGTCTTCGTTGCCTGTATCTTCAGGAGAGGTCGTACCGGCTGGCGTGACCAATATAGTCATTGTCACCGTCCTGGATGAGGACAGTCTCAGCGACAAATATATTCAGCGCATTAAGCAGAATAGAGAAGATTATGCCAAGCGCCATGGTAAAATAAATGCAAAACACCTTTTGGCAGTCAATGGCAGCCTGCTAATTAAGGATTTTAAAAAAAACAGGCTACACGAACTTTTTCGCAAGCACCAAAGAATACCTTCCCTACCTGAACGGCGCACCTCGCAGCTGGGCTCTAATCCCAGCTCTCCGCCATGCCTACACCTTGTATCCGAAGGCGTCTCACTTCTTCCATCTCTCCCCGCACGCTGTCATCATGAACCCTTCTCTCTCTCTGACCTCCCACATCCTCGATAACAATCGACTTGAATCTCTTATGATCAAGGAGAAACCGGTAGTGCCCCCGGATAGCGTGATCAAGACGTTCGGCCACTTAAAAGCAAAAGACGTGGACTTCATAATCAGCCAAGATGCGGAGAATCTATGCCCTGGCAGCTTTATCTTGCGACGAACGGATTGGACTCGGTACTTCCTGGACGTGTGGTTCGACCCCTTGTATCGGAGCTATAATTTTGCAAAAGCGGAAATCCATGCTCTGGTAAAGTTCCATATTGCTATATATATCTATATGATATTTGGCCCGCAACTATTTTGAAACCATAGTTACTCTTTTACTGATTCCCTTTTTTTTTTTTTTTTTTGTTTCGCAGGATCATATCATCCTATGGCATCCGACACTCCTTGCAAAATTAGCCCTTATCCCGCAACGTATTTTCAACTCGTATACGACGGAGTCCCCTTCATTAGTGCCAGACAGCCTCTTCAATGACGGAGACTTTATTATTCGATTCTCGGGTTGCGATTTGCCCAAACCCAAAAAAAGCTGCGAGGAGCAGATGGAGATTTACTGGACAAAATGGGCCCGGGAAATAAATAACGCGAATAAATGAACGTAATTATTTTTGTGATTATTTTTTCTTTGTTTTTCTCCCTTTTTGTTGAGACGAATTAGTGTCGATGGGAATGCGAACTTTACCTGTCCTCTGAACAATGTTATATATAAATCGTTGAGCGTCTTTTCTTTTCCTTTCTCCTTTTGTTCGTTTCCTTAACTTCTGAATTTCGGTTTTTGTAATTGGATTATCATTTAAAATAATATGTGAAGATGAAACAAACAGGTGGGAAGTGGAACTATTATCGACCCTATGAGTGCTAAATGGCTCTATTGTTGTTGTCGTGTATTTCTAAGCCCTTTTTTTTTTTTTTTTTTTTTTTTTTTTTTGGTTTAACTACTTCGACTACCCTGTTTTAAGCACCACCATATTCAACGTTGAGATTCTTTTCCCTCCCTTCTAACGATGCTACCATCAAAATTTGCCCATCTATTCAAGGCGAGATGACGCTTCAATTACCTCGCTTGACCTTTTTTCTACTTAGCCCTTGGCCTCGACAAAGTATTTGTGTAAATGCTACAGGTCATCTTCTGTAGTAGCAATCATCATATCCATACATAGATGGATAGATGGCAATTAACGATTTGCAATAATTTCTCCTAATATGTGAAATCGGATACGCCTGTTCTACAAACAAGGACAAAAATAAGAACAGAATAGAATAACAACAGCAACAATTACGGTCCGCCTGCATTACTTCCACTAATTGTTTCTCCGCAAGTAATAAAACGAGGTTGTCTACAATGCAAAGATAGCCCTCTAAAAATACAGAAGAACTTTTATAGAATGAGGAATGAGGAGACAAAAGACATTACCCGAAAACAAAAAAAGAAAAGAAAAGAAAAGAAACGGCCTCCTGCTGATCAATGACCCTCGGACCTGTATTAAAATTAAGTATGGACAGCTCGTACTGTCCCACCACACACGTCGTCCAACCCCCTTTGCTGTCCTTAGACACTGGCCTCCTGATTTGATCCCGTGTTTATGTCGCCAGGCAGCAGCGCAGTGCTACCACCCACAACCGGCGAATATGGACCTCAGACAATGCCCGGCAGCATAACGAACCGTTTCTTTTTATACTTATCGCCAAACTCTGTACGATACGCGCGTTCCTTCTGCTTTCCCCAGATAATCATCGGCGTGCACGCCACGACGATAAATAGCACCATGCTCCAATTCAGCCCGCTCACCAGATAAACACCGACCCAAGCGATCACCTCGAACAGGTAATTTGGGCACGTCACGAGGCTAAACCCGAAGCCGGACGGGATGCCTCGCTCGCTCGTGCCCGGTCGACGGAGATTCCGTAGCACTACATGCGAGTTTAGATTTGCAAGTTGACCAAAGACGAATAGCGCAAGACCTGTGTAGAGCAGTAGTGGGTTTGCAGATTTAATGGTGGTGGATGCGGCTT